ATGGACGCTGTACGCTTGGGACACAGCGCTTCCTCCGTTGCAAATGTTCTCTCTCCCCCTGGTTTATTATTTGGTTTTGACTTTGTTTATGCTGAGGTTTGCCAGCCCGTAGTATTTTGGTTGAATTCTCTTACCTTTACAGATGACTGCATTGGTTTTTTCTCATCCAAGGACACAGTTTCTATTTTCTTTACTCATCTTATTTCCATCTTATATGTAACTTGTTATACCAATTACTGGGCAGTTTATTTTTTTGGTCATTTTGGGAGATGGGCTCTTTCATCCCACGGTGCTGGTTCATTACTGCCTGTATCTCTCAAGACGCGTGAGTCCTACATACTGGTTTTGAACTCAGGCTTCTTACTGAATGATATTATTTGTGGCAGTTTGTGGTTGATTCTCTTGCATTTTCTGGGTACGAAATCGTAATGTTTGCTAATTTGCTAATGATTTCACTTTTCTTTTTCAAAATTTATTCCATTGGTTTCTTTCTACTGTTTTATTAGTAGTATCTCCAGGACAATGTTAATTTTTAACATTTATTTATTTTTGAGAGACAGAGTGTGAGCCGGGGAGGGGCAGAGAGAGAAGGAGACACAGAATCCAAAGCAGCTCCAGGCTCTGAGCCGTCAGCACAGAGCCCGATGTGGGGCTCAAACCCACAAACCGTGAGATCATGACCTGAGCTGAAGTCGGACGCTTAACCAACTGACTCCCCAGGTGCCCCGACTCTCAGCCTCTTGAACTCAGCATGGAGTGCCACAGGGCGAGGATGTCGGGAGCCACCAGCCAGGATCCGGGAGTGACACGCAGCCCCTAGGAGCCCCGTGGTCTGTGGGCCGAGCGCAGGGCCGAGTGACCATTCAAACGGACAAATAAGGAAAATTGTGTACTTGCTGCGTTAATAGTGCCACTTGAGGAAGGAAGGGAGCCCAAGGGGAGTGAGCAACGGTGGCTGGGTGGCTGGGAAAGAGAGGATTGGGTGGGACACAGAGAGGAAGAGCCTCCCGACTACGGGGTGGGGGGTGGCCCGCAGAGCCTGGGGTGGGCAGCCCGCTGAGTCTGGAGGCTTCCTCTGCCCGAAGCTGTCTCGGAGGGGGGACCAGGACCCTGGGGGCATGTCTGGGGATGGAGGGTGGCCTGGGACGTGCTCAAGAGCGGTGGCTGAAGGAAGGTGGCCTCCCACCACTGCGGGGCCCCCTTTGGCCTTTCTCTCGCCCCGGGGACAGTGTGGGACAGTGTCACTTAGCTTAGTTCTCAGAGGCTTGAAGTACCTGAGGGGCTGAGGGAGCAGGGGCAGGAGGGACGGGACTGGAGGTGGGAGCCCCACGTGCCCATATTCAGACCCACCGGAGTCCCGTCCCTGGGCGGTCCCACCCACGCTGTCCTCCCGGGCCGGGCTGCTCCCGCCCAAGTGACCGAGGCAGGCGCGGGGCTCCCTCGACACCAGTGGGGACACGGCGGAGCAGGCTGAGCTCTGGCGGGTGACATGGGGCCACACAGGCTCCTGACGACCTGGACTTGGGCTGCTGTGCAGGGAGGGGGCTGCCCCGAGCCGCCAGGACCCCCTGCCCCCGTGCTTGTCCTCTGTGCCACCCGGGAGGGCGCCATGGGGACCCGCGCCAGCCCCAGCGCAGCCGCGGACACATGTGGGTGTGCCGGGTCCCCCCCTCCACTTCAGTGAGTCGTCCGCTCTCTGTGTTGTGCGCCTCACTGTGCCCAGGACTGAAGCACAGACGCTGCGATACGACTCGGTGGCGCAGATAGGGCAGTACGGTGACCAGTGAAGGAGCCCCGGGCCCGGCCGCGATCCCAGCGGGCCGCGCGTGGGTGCGTCCGTCTGTTCCTACGGCGTCAGTCCCTCCCCCGCCGGGAACGGGCTCTAGGAAACACCGAGGTTCGTATGGACGACCAGCGTGGACTCCCGCCATCTGCCGGCTGTGTCCCGGGAATGAGGCATCCCCGGTGGCAGCTGTCGTCTGCCACCTGCAGGTCTCTGCCCTCCTCCCCACACACCTCCCGGAGCCGCTGCCGAGGGCTGAGTCCCGACGGCGCCCCTTCCCTTCTGGAGATGGGCCACCAAACAGAAGGGTCACTGTAGGCGGTAGGGGTGCATGCAGAGTGCTTGCCTCCTCCTTTCTCTTTCCTTCCTTCCTTTTCTTTCCTTCCTTCCTTTCCTTCCTTCTTTCTTTCCTTCCTTCTTTTTCTTTCTTTCCTTCTCTCTCTCTCTTTCCTTCCTTCCTTCTCTGTCTTCTTTCTTTCTTTCTTTTTCTCCTTCTTCCTCTCTTTCTTTCCTTCTTTCCTTCCTTCCTTCCTGGGGAGAGTTGTTAGCAATATTACTCTTTTTTGACTGCCAAGTAAAAAACGTTCAAAAAGAAAAATGCCCACATAAGCCAGTTTCTTTCCCCAAATCTTGCCCTGAAGAAGGATCTTCCAGAAGCCATTTATCTCCATAACCTCCTCTTCCTCCCTCCCTTTCTCTTCAGTTAATTAAGCAAATATTTATTGATGACTTTGCTTGCTCTCTGTCCTAGGGACACCTGAGGGGACGAGGCAGCGGACAGGAAAGGAAGGCCAAGTGCAGCGTGGGGTCCCGGGAGAGGGAGGCACTCTCTGCAGAGCTGGGGTCAGGAGCCCAAGGGTGCCCCGCTGCCGGTTTTGGGGGGGTTCGCAGTGTGTCCCCCCCCTTCTGCACAGTGAAGCTTCCTCTCTCCCTTCCCAGGCAGACTGCACGGTTCTCCCTCCCCCTCCCCCACGCCCTGGGAGGCGAACAATGTTGACATTTCACAGAGGAGGCTCAGAGCAGTTAAGGCCCTTGCCCAAGGTCCTAGATTGTTAATGAGAGCACAGAGGAGGGTCAGGCCTGGCCCCTGACCTTGGACGAGTTCATCACCTGCCTGTGTGTGCTTTCCTTATCAATCAGATGAGGGCGTTACCCGTGTGTATCCCGTGAGCTTGCGGGACCCACATCAGCTCTCCTTATCAGAATGCAAAGGCGTCCTTCCAGAATCCAGGCTCTCCTGGCCTCACCCCACTGCCTAGCAAACAGTTGTCAGAAGGGGGTTCAGTGGCTCTCAAGAGGCCACAAGCTCGAGGACGGCACAGCAAGGAGAGCCCAGGACTCACCCCTGCCGGGAAGGGACCGCATGAACCAAATCGTGGTTCTCTGCAGAGGGAGCCCGGGGCAAGGGGCGGCCCTGCGGACCCCAGCTGTCCTGGGAGGACTCCGAGGGGCCACGTGGGCCCCCAAGCCTGGGGGTCTGGGAGGCTGATGGCTGCAGGCTTGGGACAGCCCCAGGGCACCGGGGCTGGGCCTCGGGCCACCTCTGTAGCACCCATAGCAGAGCCTGCCCTGAGCAGGAGGGGACAGGATAATGCGGACGGGGAGCCGCTCGTGGGCTCAGCTGCCACCGCCCTGAGCTCCCTGGTTCTGAGCCCAGGCCCCGTCCAGCTCGGAGCCCACGTTTCCCCGTGGCCCTCACCCAGCGGCCTGGACCCTGGCTGAGGTCAAACCCTGGCCTGAAGGGGCAGAGGCAGGTCGTGGGCACATGGCTCCATTCAACTGCCCTTCTGCCTCAGCCTCCACCACACATGTCTCCGGGACCAGCCGGGTTAGCTGCCCACACCCCAGGCCGGCCCCGTGTCCCCCACGATGCCCTTGGCTGGGTCCACACAGGCCCTGGGGCCGGGTTGCTGATCCTTCATTCCCTCCTCCTTCTCCTCCCTCACCCCTCCACCCCCTCCAGCTCCAGGGCTGTTTAGCATCTCGGGCCCAAGGGACTCAGTGGCACTCTGGGCCGGACCCTGTGCAGGCGGAAGCCAGGCTCCTTCCTCCGCATCACAAAGGATGGAGCTGCCTTCGGACCGTGGTTAGTCAGCCTGTTGTAACACATGTCCCAGTCCACACTGGCTTACTGGCTGCCAGATTTAAGCAAATAAAAGTAGAGGACTCTCAGTGAAATCCGGATTTCAGATAAACAGCAAATAGTCGAAATGTGTCTCCACCCGTGTCTCCTATCTGGTGGTAGCACCGCCCCTGGCGACCGCCCAGGCATTTCTTACCCCCGGTAAACGCCTTTAAGCCTCTGCCAACCCACACCCACATGGAGGGAGCCTCAGGAAGCCGTGGGATTGGCCCGGCCCCCCGCCGCCCCATAACCTGGACCGTGTCCCAGGGTAACTTCAGGGGGCCAGCCGGACTCTGGCTGGGAAGAGCCAGAAGGCGTGGAAGGAATCCAGGGCCGGGCACCGGGAGGCCCATTTATGCTGCGGCCATCAGTATACTGAGGGAGCTCGAGGAAGTGGTCATGTTTCGGAGCCTCAGTTTCTGGCTCGGAAGCTGGAGGGGGCGGTGGATTGGTTCTTCCACCTCTGATGTCCGAGTCCACGAACAGCCAGGAAGAGGGAGAGGAGGGTCCTTGTTGGCCCAACACCCGCTGGTGCTAAATCATCGTGGCTTCTGTTGCCTGGGAAGCTCCCCAGAGCAGTTTCCAGCCGCGGGCAGCCCCGGGTCTCAGCAGCCCTGCAAGCAGCAGGCCAGATGCTGATCCCTCCCCCAGAGCTGGTCCTTAATCCAGGAGCCGGCAGGGGGGAGGCACTCTACCCACAGGGGCAACCAGACACCAGGGCCACAGCCCAGCCCGTTCTGTGACGGGGAGACTGGGAATGTGGCGCAGATGAGGCGCCTGCTGCTTCTCCGGAAGACACACCAGTTAGGGCAGGAGCTCCCGGCCACCGAGCAGACGCAACAGCCAGCCGTCCCCAGTCCACACGGGCGCTTCCCAGACAGCCCCCTCCTCCAGGCCCGAGGACCTGTCTGGCCACTGAGCTCCCAGGAGGTCTGAGGGGTGTGACCTCCCTCCCTCCCTCCGCCTGGCCTGGCCCAGGGCTGCCTATAAAACTGGCCCGGCCTGGCTCTCCGCACAACAGGCTGGGACCCTCGCCGAGCCTCCCTGGGGGACACGTCTGCTCTGCCCCCCACCCCCACCCCCGCCCGCACCATGGGGCCCCTGTGGCTGTGCTGGGTGCTCTGGGCGCTGCCCCTGCCGGGCCCCGGGGCCGCCCTGACCGGGGAGCAGGTGCTGGAAAGCCTGCTGCGGCAGCTGGGCCTCAGCGAGGCGCCCGGCCCGGCCCAGCGCGACGCGGAGGAGCCGGCCACCCCGGCCCACGTGAGGGCCCAGTACGTGGCCCTGCTGCGGCGGAGCCACGGCGCCCGCTCCCGGGGGAAGCGGTTCAGCCAGAGAGTCCGAGGTGAGGCCGAGGAGAGGCCGAGGCTGGGGAGGCCGAGGCTGGGGGCCCGTCCCGGGGCGGCTGTCGGAGGCCCGGGCCCCAAAGGGCTGTAGGCACTGCTGGGTCCAGGGCCCCAGGGCCCTCTTTCTCGGGTTGGGGACATTCCACTGGGCGAGGGCCCCACAGCAGGCGGGCAGAGGACAGGAGTCAGGGCTCTTGTCCTCCCTCTTGGAAAGGCCACTCCCTGCTGGTGACCACAGATTTCCGAGGCGGGTTCTCTGCCCTCCTCTCCCCGCCGCCCTCCCACTTTAGCTGGGTCCCTTCGCCTAAGGAAGGCTGCGTGTCGGGGTGCCTGGGGGCTCAGTCGGTTAAGCGTCCCACTCTTGGTTTGGGCTCAGGTCATGATCTCGAGGTTTGTGGGATCGAGCCCCATGTCGGGCTCTGCACTGTCAGCACAGAGCCTGCTTGGGATTCCCTCTCCCTCTCTCTGCCCCTCCCCCTCTTGCCCTCTGTCTCTCACCCTATGAAAATAAATAAACAAAAAAGAAGGCTGTGCACGTGGGGCCCCCCTCCTCACCCTGCCCCACCCCCCTCCTGCGGGTTGGTGGGGGACTCTGTCACTGGCTTTGGGCCCTGGGCCCTCCTGGCTGCCCTGGTGTGGGACAGGCCTCCTGAGCCTGCTCCTGTCCCCAGAGGTGGCAGGCAGGTTGCTGGCGTCGGAGGCCTCCACGCACGTGCTGGTGTTCAGTATGGAGGGGCGGCTGCCACCCGACAGCGAGCTGGTGCAGGCGGTGCTGCGGCTCTTCCAGCAGCCGGTCCCCAAGGCCGCACTCCGCAGGCTGTCCCCGCACAGCGCCCGCGTCACCGTCCAGTGGCTGTGCGTCCAACAGCACCTACCTGGTGCATTCCTGGTGGGGAGGTGGGGGTGGGGGGTGCCCGTGCGGAGGGGAGGGGAGGTGAAGAGAGGCAGGGGAAGAGAATGGTGGTGGGAGGGGAGAGGGCGAGGGGAGGGGAGAGGAGGGAAAAAGAAGGGACGTGAGGGGGTTGGATGGGGGAGGGGGAAGGGGAGAGAAGGAGAGGGAGAGGAAAGGAGGGGGGAGGGGGAGGCCCAGATGTGGGGGAGGGGGGAGGAGGGAGAGGGTTAAGGGAGTGGGGGAGGGGGAGCGGGAGGGGGAGGCGGGCCCAGCATGGGGGAGGGGTTGGGGGAGAGGAGAGGGGGAGAGGTGAAGGGAGGGCGCATGAAGGCCCAGCTCAAGGGAGGGGGGAGGATCCCTCAGGAGTGTCCCCAGCCCCAGCTCAGGCTCCCGTGCCCACCGTTGTCACAGGCTGGTGTCCCTCCACGAGAGTGGTTGGAAGCCCTTCAAGGGGAAGGACTGAGGCTGTGAACTTCTTTTTTTTAAATTAATTTATTATTTATTTACTTTGAGAGAGGAAGTGAGAGAGGGAATGAGAGAGAATCCCAAGGAGGCTCCTGATGTCCGCACAGAGCCTGATGTGGGGCTCGATCTCATGACCGGGAGATGGTGACATCAGCCGCTGTCAAGAATCGGATGCTTAACGGACAGAGCCACCCAGGTGCCCCAAGGCCGTGAACTTCTGGCGGCAGCTGAGCCGGCCTGGGCAGCCGCTGCTGCTGCAGGTGTCCGTGCAGAGGGAGCACCTGGGCCCGTGGGCCCCCAGCGCCCACAAGCTGGTGCGCTTCGCCTCCCAGGGCCTGGAGGGCACACCCCCCTCCCAGATGCCCCTGCAGCAACCCCCCCGTGACCTCGGCTGACCTGTGCCCCTCCTGCCCACACAGAGCACGAGATGACTGTGACCCTGGGGCGCTGGTGGCGGAGGACGCCCGCTGCTGCTGCCAGGAGATGTACATTGACCTGCGGGGGATGACATGGGCTCAGCACTGGGTGCTGGTGACCCCCGGCTTCCTGGCCTATGAGTGTGTGGGCGCGTGCCGGCAGCCCCCCGGGCCCCGGACCTTCAGGGGCCGCTCCGACTCAGAGATTACCTCTCTGCCTGTGATGATCAGCGTCAAGGAGGGGGACAGGCCCAGGCCCTGGGTGGTCAGCCTGCTCGACGTGAGGGTGGAGAAGTGCGCCTGCTCATGGGATGGGGCGCCCGTGCCCAGGAAGCTGGGGCCTTAGGGGTGGGCGGTGGCTGTGTGGGTCAGGGCACCGGGGCATCTTGGGACTACGGGACTGCTGATGGCCAAGGCTGAGCGCTGTCTACTGAACTGAATTTGCTTCCTCGATCCATTCAGCTCACCTCCCAATGTTTTCTCCTGGGGGTCGAGACTCAGGTGCTACTGGGTAGCCCCTGCCCATCTCTGTTCCCATCATGCACTGCATATCCCAAGCACTTATCTCAATCAATTCTGTAACCTGAGAATAAAAAGCCCAAATTGTCATTGTTTCCATGTCCCATCACTGGGTCTGGGCTGAGCTCTGTGCAATGGGCTATGTGTTCAGTCAAGTACAGATTATGCATTTCTAACCCTGATCTACAGGGCATTACCTAATAAACAGATGAAACACATGTTATTCTGCATTTCTCTATTTTACCGGAACCCTGAGGAAACAAAGTTTCTATAGAGATTAGGTCAACCTGCTTAGAAAACGGAGGAAGGAGCTGAGTAATACAGGAAGCTAGGATTGAAACAGAGTCCTGTGTGTCTATCCTTTTTGAATTGAAACAGACATCTTTTTTGTCGTTGTTGATGTGTTGATGTCTTTACCTCCCTGGACACAGTGAGCGGGCTCTGTTTCAATTCTCCTTGCTACAAAACAAAGTCTGCAAGGAAAATCATAAGTAGCACAAGCCTGTAGGTGATTCCTTTAGATTTAGGGGCACACGAGGGGAGCAAATGTCGAAAATATTGGCTATGACAATTTACTTATTATTTTTTAAATGTTTATTTATTTTTGAGAGAGACAGAGACAGTGAGAGATACATACAAAATCCGAAGCAGGCTCCAGGCTATGAGCTGTCAGCACAGAGCCCGACGTGGGGCGCAAACTCACAAATGGTGAGATCATAACCTGAGTTGAAGTCAGATGCTCAACTGAGTGAGCCACCCAGGCATCCCTGACAATTTAGAATGCCCAGAACACAGCGGCTGTTAAGCTGTGACTTTGTTGCAGGGACCCAGCCTGGACATCCTGAATTTCTGGCCGGTCTGCGTGGCTCTTACTAGTTCTGAATTCCACACTTTCCAAACCCCTATTTCCTTCCCTACCAAACAGAACAATCCCTGACTCCCGTACACTTACTGTAGATTTAAGGAAACAGCATTCTTACAAGAACCCCACACACTGCCTGATATTTAACAGGGCCTGTGCTTTATTTAGCTCAAACCACGTCTCACCCATTTGGCCTCCTCTTGATTTTGAAATAAACTTAGTCTACTGAAAATCAAATTTAGAAATCCCGTCCCTCTCTGAAATCAAAGATCCTTTCCTTCTTTTGGCCAGTGCCTTCACCATTCTAATTACTGAGGTTAGATACAGCCGGGCACTTCCGGGGCGCCTGGGTGGCTCAGTGGCTTAAGTATTACTCTTGATCTCCCATCAGGTCATGATCTCACAGTTTGTGAGTTCGAGCTTCACCTGGGGCTCTGCACGGACAGCGCGTGGCCTGTTCGGGATTCTACCTCTTTGCCCCTCCCCCATCGGTGCACGCGCAGGTGCGCATGCTCCCTCTCAAAATAAATAAATACACTTAGAACCAGGCATTTCCCTGGACCCCTCAGCACAGACCAGGCCGGTGCTGGTGGCATTAATTGAGGCAGGGAGGCCGTGGGGACATGCAGGACGGAGGTGTGAGGCCTGGGAAGATAGGCCTGAGAAGTCTGGGGGGCGGGGGCGGGGGTGGGGGCGGCTTGGACATCCAGCCAACACACCCGGGCACGCTGGGGTTATCAAGTGTGAGGCTTGGCAGCGGGAGGGAGAGCAGGAGTGGACAAATGTCCATGCACCTGCACGGCTGACAAGGGCTGAGCGCAAGGGCCCTCGGCAAACTCCAGGAACTAACTAGCGGCGGGTGGGAGGGTGGTTGGGAGAAGGCGGGGCCGGGTGGGGAAAGTTAGGAGGCCAGAAGGGACGGAAAAGACCCATCAGGGAAAGAGCAGGAGTCACCCGGACCCCAGCCAAGAAGACAGCCCAGTGCAGGGAGCCACAGGCCGGGGCGCTGGTCGCGGCCACGGGCAGGGAGGTAAGGAAAGGCAACCCAGGAGCCACAGCTCAGAGGCGGAAGAATCCCGGTCTGTCTGCAAGGGCGCGCAAGGCGTCCAGGCTCTCCCTCCCCAGCGGGACCCCCAGAAGGGCCCCGAAGGGCAGCTGCCCCCGCGCCCCGGGTCTGTGGACACCGAGGCCTGCACAGGACGGTGTCCCCCTCCCCCGAACCCCGGGACGCCAGGACCTGCGCGCGGACCCGAGCTGCCAGGCCTCCCCTCCACCCCTGCGCGGCGGCTCCGGGTGCGCAGGGGCGGGGGCAGGTCCCGGGGCTGCGCGCGGCAGGGCGGGGGCGGGATCCGCAAATTGGGCGGGCGGTGCGCATGTGCGGGAGGCGCCTGGAGTTTCACTTTGTAACTTTTCGGGGGCGGGACCTGCCCCGCCCGTCAGGTGCAGCTGGCCGCGCGGGCACCGCAGGTACGGTGGGCGGGGGTGCCGGGTCGGGGGTCGCCCGCAGCCCTCCCGGGGCCGAGTCCAGGGTCCGGGGCCTGCCGCGGACCCCTCCCCCGAGGCTCCAGCTGTACGCGCGGACCCCCTCCCCACACCCCCATCTCCGAGGCTCCAGCTGTATGCGCGGACCCCCCAGCCCCCACCCCTGAGGCTGTAGCTGTTCGCGAGGGCCCCTCCCTGCCCCAGGCCTCCGCTGGGAGGAACCCGGAGGAACGGGGAGCAGGAGCATAGCCGGGGGCTCTTCCTTCTCGGACCCCCACCACCTCCCCTCCGCCCCAGGGAGGCAGGTGGGAGGCACTGGGGCGGTCCCTCGGTGCCCACGGCCCTGCTGGAGTCCAGGGGAGGGGGGAAGAAGGGAAGGGGCCCTTGGGGGGAGGGGAGGGGGAGAAGATCTCTACCAGGAAACCCAAACCGCTGGGATTTGGGGACCTGATAAGACCGGCTACCTGAGACTCTGGGGCGGCCTCCATCTCTCAACCCCGGGTGGGGTGGCGTCGGCAAGCGCAGGACGTGGACAGGCTGGTAGACCAGATGACCTCCCAGGTTCCTTCCAGGCCCGGGAGTGTGGCCTGCGCCGGGCCCCGTGTCCAGGCTTCGCGGTCCGGCCAGGGGGCTGTGCCCACCAGTGCGGCCCTGGCACAAGGGGGCAGGGGAGACAGACATGCTGGGGCCTTCTGAGGCCATGGGGGACGGGGACAAACTCCAGGCCACCCCGTACTGAAGAAAAAGTCGTTTCTCCCTTTTTCGTTCTGAGCACACCACTGCCTTCCTCCTTCCTCCCCTCCTGGGACACCTGTCGGGGTCCTGAGTAGCTTCTGCCTCGAGGTGGATGTGAACAGAAGCCACCTCTTCACACAACCGCTTCTTTGTTTAGTGTTGGGCCAAAGGTCTGTTCATTGGGCTCTAATGGGGGAAAAATTCAGATGGGTCCTGACCTTGTGTTTCCCATTAGCTGGAGGAGTGATTTAAAATAAAGGCCACCAGCTTTTGGCACTGGGCTGAGTGCTTCATGCACAGGGTCTCAGGTATGTGCCTCCCAACAGCCCTGGTGAGAGAATGACAGCATCGCCCCGTTTCGTGGGGAAGGAAGTCAAGGCGCTGAGCATTTAAGCCGCTGCCAGAACGACGTGGGGGCTGAGACCCTGACTCCAGAACGCAGGTCTGCGCTGGACGCCCTGCCTCCCACTGTGCCCAGAGTCTGGGCTGTTTTCTTGACGCTCCAGGACTGATGTCCCTGGAGATGGACAGTTGTCCAGGTTCCTGGCCCCCCCCCCGGCGCTGCTTTGAGAAGTCTGTGTTTCCCTCACGACCTTTCTTCTGCATCGGGAAGACCCGAGTCCGTGGCTCCCGCGGCGGAGAGCCTGGGGCTGCTGTGGTCTCGCTGTTGGAACGAGACCCGGAGATCTGTGATGATAGAAATACCCCGAATTCGTGTGGGGCCTTCTTGTAAGAACCGAGATGCTGATGCACCCCCGGCGACTTTCCGGCGTTTCTGGAAGGAAGGCGGAGATGGTCACGTGTGCTGCTGCGGGGCCATTCGCAGCTGCCGCTCGGGCGAGCAGTGCTTAGCACTCACCGTGGCGGGTTAGGCCTGCTGCTGGACCTGGCCCCCCTCCCAGCGCCACAGCCAGGCCTGGGGTGCGTGGGGGGCCTGAGCCTCCGCAGTGACTCTAGTTCTCCTGCCCTCGGGTTAGTAGCAGAGAACTCTCTGGAAGGCACAGATGCGTGCTGGGCACTCGTGTAGGCATATCTACACACAGGGAGGACGCCACATCCACGAGGTCAGGGCCTGCTCGCTGGCTTCCCCCGCCGAGCCAGCTCTGTCCCTTCTGTGCTGGACGCCCTGCGTTGGTCGTGTCCCCCACGTCCTGTTGGGGAAGGGAGAGAGGAGCCGGCCCTGGGGGGACCACGGGCTTTCAGCAGAGTTGGGACACGATGTGTGTCCAGCGAAGGGACAGTCCACGATCGAGCCGAAAGGTTTGGGAGAGACCGCCAGCCTCCAAGGCTGTGCCCTCCCCTGGGTGCCTCAGCTGGAGGGGGCTGGCGGGACAGGCCGATGCCCTGGGAGCCCCGAGGCCCCTGCCCCCCCAGGCTGGCAGTCCTTGCTGGCCGATCTCGCGAGTTCTCAGTGGACTATGTGAAACCACCCAGAGGAGGCTGGTGGGAGGGAGGGGACTTAGAGGTGTGCCCAGGGTAGAAGGGAGGAGAGGCGCCTTGGGTGGCCTCCTCTGGGGCCTCTGCTCTGCTCGGGCAGCATCGGCGAGGGCGGCCCGCCCCCAGCAGCCACATGGCAGCCACTCCTTTCCAGGGACAGTGCTCCCTCTGTGAGCAGTCCACGGGCATGGTTTTTCCTTTCCACGTCACCTTTCAAGCCTTCCTTGTTCTGCTGTGTCCCTTTTCCTGATTCTGGCCCTTGGGCGGCAGCTGCCCTTGGGGAGGTCCTGGACTCAGAGGCCCTTCCCTGGGGTCCCCAGCCACCTGGGCTTCTGTGGGGAGGACACTCCCTGGGCCCAGCAGGGCCTAGAGGCTGCTGATGCTGGAGGCTGGAGGAGGAGAGAGGGGCAGGTCCGACAGAGGAGCGCCCAGAACCAGTTCGGGCGGTGGGGGGGGGGAGGGGGAGGGGGAGGAGAGCAGAGCGGGGGTGGTGTGGGGAGGCAGGGTGGGAAACACCAGAGGTCGAGTTCAGAGACTCGGCGGCGTGTGAGCCCAACTGGAAAAGGCGGCCCTC